AACGTTTCTTTCTTAATTGGCTATTGTTTTGTCAAGCATTGTCCTCTATTAGTCACAGAAAAAAGGCAGAGTCCAAGTTTTTGTCACTTTCTTGGAAGTTAGAATTATTTCAACACACATGGTGATTTAAATAGGTTTTGTACGTTGGTTTGTTATTTGAATCTTGCAGCCTCTGAGTTGACACGGTTCGTAGGGCCTCATGGACGTCAAGGGATGGAGTTTTGCACACCTTCGAAGTTGCAGGGTAGCATAACACTTTTAGAAATAAAGAAGATAATTTTTGTTGGAGTGAATCATAGACAGTGAGATTTTCTTCCAATTGGTGGTCATGAATTGCTCAAAAGAATCTTCTGCAATTTCTTTCACCTATTACGTAAGAAGGGTAAACATTTTATTTATTTTGAGTAACTTGAGCCAAGCAAATCTAACAATCTTACAGGATGTTCCATTATTCAAGAATCCAAAATGTACATGTGGGTGAAACATGTGTCTGTTTTGTGTGACTTTTTGCCTTTTTTGTTGGCTTGGTAATTGAGTGCTTAAAAAAAAATACAATGTTTGACTCCATATTAATGATGTGCATTTCATCTATATCAAATTGTGATGTGATGCAAGTATATAGTTTGACAGTTGTTAACTTCCTTGAGTCAGATGCTGTTACAAGAACTGAAATGACTGTGTAGCACAAGCTGACTGCGCTGATTTCTTTTTGACACTTTGAACAGTTATAACAACATCTATTTGGCAGCTGTACTACAACAAATGACATTTACGTATTTCATGGCTGGTTTACATTTCACTCATTGTAGCAACATCTGTGTCAGGATTTGTGGTACTGTAACACCTGTGTATGGAGTGTGTTGTGTGTAACTGTTGGGAATTCGACTGTCTTTTTGTTGTGTCTAGTGTGGGTTTTGCTCATGTTGTATGTATATACAAGGGTCATGTGGCCAGTAGCAAGTATGCACTGTATTTGTTTACTGTATATTTTACCAAGCTGCCTTGCCACATTATTGCAGATGGGTTTATTTGCTTACAAGTTCCTGCCCCTTGTATTTGCATACCATGGCGTACCTTAGTGCATAAAAGGTTGTTGTCATAATGAGGTTCTGTGGTGAATGATATCTTTGTTTGCAACAATTGTAACTAGTGAAAATGTGTGGTGTAATGCCAGGTTTTGTTGCCTGCTTTAAAGAGCTTGTTAATACTTTGCAACTTGTTTTTGGCTGACAGAAATGAAGTAAAACCAAACCAACAGTTTGACTATTTGTACAACATTATGACACCCAACCTTGATGCATTTTGTTTGAGGTACCTGTTTGTTTTAATTTAAGGTCCATGTATTTTACTGATGTATTTCTTCTGCAGTGATAATTTGTTTTAGATGCCATCATTCTAAGTTTTTTGCTCTGTGGTTGTTGTCTTGTAGGACCTCCTCAGAAATTGATGATAAAGCTGTGGAAAGTTTTGTTGATGAGGACGACTTCATCATCTCTTTAGACTACAATGCCCAAAATGGTGTTTGCAGTATAGTGTTGGAAACATCAAGCTGACGAATGGTTTTGGGCTCTTTTGCCCCGTTTTGTACTTCGCAAGATGAAGGACGTTGTTTACAAGTTAAATTTGTGCATATTTTATTGAAGCTCACTTCAAGTGGTCTGTTAGGAGAATTATCTGACATTCAGTTGAAGCTGAGGAAAACTGAAAATAATTTTTTTTTGTACAAGTGCCTATCTTGGCTATTTTGTCTTACCTTAAAAAGTAACAGTCACATTATAACACTGCTCACGAGTGAGTCGTGTTAAATTTAATACACTCCCTTACAAAGGAGCATTGCTATTAGTTTATTACAGAGAGGTTCCCATGTGACGAGATTTGTAAGTTTTATTTGTAACTAAAGATGGAGGTTCTCCACTGAAAAGATTGTATAATTATTTGAGCTAAGATTGATGTGTCACTGGATATTTGTTTTGTAATTTATTTCATGTAAATTTTCAACAAAAATGGTGTTAATTTAACACATCAAAAGTATTGGAGGCATTATATTCTGTTACAGCCTAATTTATAGAAAAATGTTATCTATGGATAATACATTTAGAAAGTTTATTGTGTGTTGGAGAAATTTGTATCATTTTAAGGAATGCCAAATTGAGAGATTTCTTTAAGTACGGTTCTCTGTGAAGCACATTGTGTTCATTTTCCTTTTTTATTATTTTTTTTTAAATAAAAAATATCCCTGGCAAGCTATAAAATGATAGAAGTCTTCACTTTTAACATGTTACAAATAGCATGGAAATTTTGAGAATGTCTTTCCTGTGTGAATTACTGAGTTAATCCCCAAGGTTTATGGTCTCTTGTTTTCTAGTCCTTTTGGATCGATAGTATTTTTTGGAAGTTTAGCCTTAACTTTAGCCCTATATCTTCTTCTGAGACTGCAAAGTTTCAGCATGGTCAAAACTCTTGATTGTGTCAAATGAGTGACATAAGAAGAGCAGATAATTGCTCAAGCATTTTTCCTAACTTGAATTTCAGCAAGTATTTTTAGCATATATTTTTTTTTTATCAGAGACTACAGGTGAACTTAGGTACACCTTGTTATTAAATGCTGACCATGTGCCTGATATGTACTTTGCACTGCCAACAGTTGAGGGTTAAGAGTAAAGTTAAGACTGAAACAGCTGTAGGTGGTCAAAGCAAATGGCTGACCATACAAAGAGTCTCTGAAGTTAGCGTGCTGAAACTTTGCAGGTGTAAAAAATTTTGGCATGCTCTAGAACCTTCTCTCTGTACATGTATGATGTTTTTTGGTTACTCTGTGTGTTTACAGGTAATATTTTGCATTGCATTGCATTGTGAAGGGGATGGATATTAAGAACGTTTGTTTTTGTCTTAGTTTTGTGCAAATTTATTTTGAAAACCACTGCTTTCCTTTTTATAGGTACCCTAACTTATCAGGATCTCAAGGGGGGATGGGTGGGGGTATCTGGTGTTATTGATGCTTGCCATTGATTTTGGAATTGGTGAGGATCTTCTAGCACTTAGAAGTAGGTTTTGAATGTGATGGCTTGGTGTTATCAACTTTTAAACCACCCTGAGACCCTCATAGTTGGTTTACTTTGGAGACAGTTTCCAGTGGAAGCATTCTAGTGCAAACAGTCTTAAGTTGTAAGAACGTTTGTGTATAAACTTGCAAAGATCTTAGAAGAATCTTCCTTCCTAGCCAGATTGTTACTTTTAGATGGCTTTGTGTTTTGAAGAGGAAGATATTCTGGATGTAACTTGACGAATATCATGTTACTATCACTGACCAAATAAACTTTGAAACTGATATCCAGTGTGCTTGTGGTGGTGTTCTAAAAACCACTTATCATTCTGTGCTCTTTAAAGCTGTTTATTTTTCTTTACAAAAAATTCCATTGTTTTGTATGTGATGAGACTGATAAAATAATCTTCTTCCAGTCTGTGTACATGTGTGACATTCCTGACCATAATATCACTGTGGAATTGAGGTGTTAGCAAGCTAGAACATGTCAAATGTCACCTGTGACATCTTGCGCTAAACGTTTCTAGTAAGTTATGGAAGTGTGGAATTTCCAGCGTAACAGAACCTGTCACAATACCCTCCGAAAGTACAGATGGTGGGAGATATGCGTTCCTGTTTTGCACGTTGTTTTGTCTTTTTCTGAGTGGAATAGAATATTGAAGTCATTGTCTGTCTAGAATAAGAAATATACCTCCCGACGAAAGACTCACAGAATGCATTTAGGAAAGATACTCTGGGACACTGTCCTGATCTTTTGTCTCTCACTGACCAGGGATGGTTCAGAAGACTAATTGTGCAAGATCACCTGTCCTCCTGCAAAAATATTTCACTCAGATTTAATAACCCTTGCGGGGTATTTATGTGACACTGGTGTGTCTTTTGTTTTAGCATGAGTGCACCCTGCTTCCCTCTTACCGCTCTGTATTTGTTTACATGATGGCAGCACAAAATCCAGTACTGGAGCAAATCAACCCATCAATCTGCCGGATCAGGGTTATCATTGTGGCACTGTTTAATAATCCCTGTAGTTTGATTATTTTTGTTACAGAAATATTAGATCAAAGATTACAGCCATCATGACAGCTTATGCAACACGTACAAGGGAGGGGGGGGCTTCCTTTGCACACCAAAATGGAAGCAACACCCCTTACTAGAGAAAATGTTCCTGCTTTATTATTTTCACCAATGGTGACTGAAAGGACGGCCCATCATTTGGAAATTCAGTCTTAAATTAAGTTTGCACTCTTGCATCAATCATAACCAGCAAAGTATCATCACTTGGAACTTTGATTCAAATAGTCTACTATGTTTTATGTCATTAGCTTCCTACAAAGAGCCTCATTACTCCATGTTCATAATGTATATACATCATAATGCATGTATTACTTATTAGAAACCTTAAGTATGGTTAAAGACTAGACTTCACCAGTGACAGTGCAGTACTAGAATGGAATTTTGTTATGTACAGATTGTTACCTAATATGGGCATCGTTACTTCAGCCAGAGGTTCCCAACCATCTGATCAGAGAGTTTTGCTCAAACAACAGTATAAAGTATAATCTGGATGGTGCTCTGGGGGGAGGGATGAAAGGGAGGGTAAATCCAAACAAAGGTACAGATATCTTCCGCACAATACAGTGGTGGAACGCAAAACATTTGGTACGGGTGGCAAACAATGGGTCTCACATTTCCCAGATCTGGCAGTCTCTCTATTTCTAACAGCTATGTGCACTCGCAGTCAGACTCAACATTTTACAAAGTTAAGAAAGTCACAAATTCCTGATTTCATCGAGTGTCTTTACAAAGGATGCCTTACTGCCTTTATGATTTAATGCCTCATGCTCCCATTTTTAAAGTCTCGGGCTCGCAGAGAAAAAATGCAAGTCGTGCCATCTCGCAAAGTCTTATATTTACATTCACCAGCCTATATGTTCAGTCTATTTACAACAAGTTCACTCAGAAACTTAGGGTAGTATAGAGCACGAGATGTAACAAGTTGTTATAAATTACTGTCACATTGTAGTTATAACTACATCGCAACTGTACATTGTCCATGTTTTATCACATATCTGCACCTTGGAAGTGAGCAAGTTTCTTTTCAAGCTCAGAAGCTTTCATCCGTAGCCTGCGCACTTCCTCCTTGAGATTGGCATTCTCCCTCTCGAGCATCTTGAATTTCTCCGAGACTTCGATTTCCTTCTGACGTCTCAAGTCTCTCGACCTTTTGGCGGCCACATTGTTTTTTATTCTGCGTTCCCAGTATTTTTCGTCTTTTTCTGATTGACTGAAGAATTTCCTATCAGCCTTCTTTGTGATCGGCAGAGGGTTGTACACATATTTGGAATTGCGACGCCTTCGTACCGGTGTTTTGCCCGGCTCGGGACCCATGGCTTCGGGGTGTTCCTGCCTGGTCACTCCAACTGTTTTGCACCACTGAATGATTGCATTAGTCTCTGGTGGCTGAGAAGTGTTCACTTGCAGGGATTGAAAAACGGCTGGATCGACTTTCAAAGGAAGAGAGGACATTTTCGACAACATCATCGACGTCAACACACTTACATCAGCAGCCGCCTTTGAGAAATCTGGTATGGGAGGAACCTCTGCTCTGGTATTTGTGGTAGCGACTGTTGAATTTTCCTGTCCGTTCTGCGTTTGTACGGATAGAAATTCGTCCAAATCCATGTAATCCGGGGGGAAACTACTTCTCGTAGAAATCGACAGCGTATCAACACCAGAGTCACTCGACTCGCTGTCGCCATCGCCTGGAAAATAGAAAAGCCAGTTACGGATAAGCAATTACCAAATCACGGGTTAGCAGTACGGTTAGTACAAAAGTTGTTGACGGTCGGAAAAGAGAATAACACAGGGTAGCCCAATGGGCAGAAAAAATCAAAACAACTGGCTATTTCGAGCGAGGTTCAAACCAGCGACGTTACCACAGCCAGAGGGAAGAAATGGGTTATGTGTGATAATGTAGAGCCTGCTAGAATTGAAAAGTCTTTCTCGTACTCGATCTCGTTGACGATTTAGTCCCATGGTCCATCAAGCTAGTAACCCCAAGTTAAATGTAAGTCGTAGAGTTCGGCACAACTTTTCTGCTCTAGACACGATGTAAGCTTCTACTTCGCACACTTCAGCCCGTGACTTCAGTAGACGAATATAAATCTTTGTTATAGTTCTAATTCACCAAGACTTACTTTGGTTAGGGGGAGCTGAACTCGAACGGCTAGACATAGTCAATCGTAATACTCCCAACAGAATGTACACTCATTTGCGATCTACAGGAATAACTCGATACGAATGTCGTCAACAAGATTCCAACAGCTCTTCCATCCTTCAGATGGAAAGGAAATGTGCGATATGATTGGTTGTCACGTTACGGCACGTGCAGCTGGTTTCCTTACATAACAAATATGGCTTCCATATTCACGTGCAAACAGTTGTTATATAACGTTTTAAAGCACGCGATCGCGAAGAAAATAGTATAAAATAGAAAGGGAAATGAAATATTTCAGTGCTGTGAAAAGATTTAGTCCATTTTTAAGTGTATGATTTAGTATTTTTCTTACCCTAAAAAATATGTTATTGCACAATTAGGGGACTGGGCACGAGAAACGTGACTTCGCACGCGACACCATTCTCGTCCCCAGAACCCTCTGTCCCAGGTACGGTGGTGTGCGCACTAAGACCGCGATGCACGCTGGTATTAGCTTCTTTTCAGGTCATTTGCTCGTTGGGTCGGCATCTTGGGGACACTGGGCGCGATCCATTCAGCCAAAATTTCCGGGCTGAGGTTCAAACATTTCTTGTTGTCCAATGGATCGCAACGGGTCCGAACGGCTCGTTCCATTCCACTCGCAAAACGAGTTTCGCGCTCATTTAAGATGGAGGATGTTGGATCACTGTTTCTCGTATTAAAGCTA